CAATGCACTGCCACGCCCCCTCCCGCCCCTGAATGCAGGTGTTTTTTCATTGGTAGATCTCATTGAGCTCGTCATTTTAAAGTAGATCTCCAGACGAAAAATTGTGGGGGCCCCTGATCTAGACCAACCTCAATTGCTGTTATCTGTCTATCTGGACTTTTAGACAATCCTACACTGACTACTGTAGTCCCTCTGATGAATAGTAAGTCCCAAGAGATCCAGGTCTTAAATCTACTGGCCAGTACTACCTTCCTTTGGCTAGCGAATGATGGGGCCCAAGATGCTGTTGGTGCGGTAATCTGACAAGCAGTAATAGTGTGGCTTGTGGCCTCTGTCCCGGGTTAGTCAGTGAGGAAACAGACGTTCCCACTAGACATGTGTGATTAGTTTAGTAAAAATTTGTTTTTCTCATTATTCGGAGATTCAAACGAAATTCGTTAGCGGTAGTCTGTACGATTTTTCGTTTGTGGACGAATATTCGTTGTAGCAAAGTGACATTTAAAAAAAAACATTTTTAATGTCACTTTGCTGCAACAAAGCTAATGAAACGAGCACAAAACGGAAACGAACTTTCGTACAGACTACCGCTAAAGACAGGCCGGGAGCTATGGAACAAAGTGCAATAAGCGGAAGGCCTACATGACAAGGGTGGGAAAGGGAACCAGGAGAGAAAAGGGTTAAAGGGAAAAGTGAATTAGAGGAGGGATACTCACAGGATTGGTGGAGGGAGCTTTACAGGAGGAGCTTCGGAGAGTATCCAGGAAGGAGGAGTTCCAGGAGCCAGCGTGACCAGGAGAAGGAACAGGACTTCCCACCCGCCCGTCATGGTATGGTTTTGGTGGTGTCTAAAGTTTGTTGCAGCATTATGGCGGTTTGGGTATCCATGAAGGCAATTTTCTGGGTTGGATAATTTGACGGGGGGACGCATCAGTGGTGTGGGTGGCCTTCGGTGGTGGTAAGGTCATACGTCATGACCTGGTAAGAGGGACCACGGTGGGTCTGCGGGCAATTGAAGTACATCCCCGAGGCGCTGTATGGTGGCTGGGGTCATTCCGTTTAAGAAAGGTGCCCGCAGACACTGGTTCGAGTTTGGATAGTGAGTGCCTTCAAGGACCTTGAAACCTAGCAAGCTACTGTATGTTACTTGGTTATTGTTGTTTTTGATTGTTATTTAAAGAGTATTTATAAAAGTTTTGTAATAAAAGGCTGCTGTGGCCATTTATACTCCAACCCTGGTGTAGCGTGGTAATTGAAAGGATTTGGGGGGGGTCGAAGGTAAAGGGGGTGATGGTAGTCAAGAATTTCGTCCGAAACCGAATCCCAAAACAAATTGACTTTCAAACCCGAATCCTGAAAAAAGAAAATACTCAAAATCTGAATCAAATCAAAACGAAATGAAACAAAACTATTTTTTTGCCGGGGCACATGTCTAGTTCCCACAAACCTCCACTGTAGGGATTCTGGGCAACAGTAATTAACTCTTTATAAGAAGGAATATACTGTATACAATAGTGTGACAGCTGTACCTGGGCTAGACAGCTTAAAGGATATCTAGACCCGAGAATGATAATGTAATTTATTGCAGCTTTCAAGTCCTTAGATAGCCTGGCCTATTCAGTTGCACCCCTGATATCCATCAGCCAGCTACCAATAGACACAAGGGTGTCTATTAGTGGCATCTACGGTCTATGGGAACTCTAAACTCAACTCCAGCTAAATGTAAGAAGAAACATTTAGTGCAATTATATATTCATTCAAAATGTCATTAATAAATAAATATATTCATTACATGCTGGCGGAAGTGCCGGTATAGTACTTGGTATCAGCAAGTACTGAAAGATAAATATCAGTAGTCATTCTGGATACTGAAAAAGACTGGTATCTCTGCATCCCTATCTAGTAGCATCTGTTGTTTGCCATTACTAAACATTTCTAAAAGTGCCTTTGTTGTTATTTTAAAAATATGGGTAAAGTTCCTCTTTAAGAGAGCAAAATCACTCCAAAATTGGAAGGAAACCGCAAGTCAATAAAGGGTTCGCTGACTTGCAACGGTACCTTCTGATTTCCTTCCAATCTGTTGCATTGTGATTAGTTTTTTAACAGATGCTAACGGAAGGGCACCAGAAAATGAGTGGATGTGAATGGGACTGGTTCACACCGGATCCATTGTATTACAATGCTCTGGAAAAAAAAGTAGTGCATTTTCTACTTTTTTTTTTTTTTTTTTTTAAATGCAACATAACACAAGGCCACAGACGGAGCGTTGTGAACCAGCTTCATTCACACCCATTCATGTTTCAGTGCCCGTCCATCAGCATTCGTTAACAAACGGATCACGATGCAACGGATTCGATGTGAATTGGCCCTTCTATTTGTATATTAGCTTCCTCTACTCATCTGCATAGTCTTCATACCCAGACTGGAAGGAGAAGAGCACTATGAGCCAGTCAGGGCTCAATCTGTGTGTCAGTCTAGACTACTAACATGGGAACAGGAGGAAAGAGCATAGGGATGACCCCTGCAGTGTGCTGGTGCTTCATCCAATCACACAGCACAGCCTTGTCTGGCAGGGCAGGAGACCTATTTTTGTTCTGCTGCAGCTAAGTAACGCTTACAGGTCTTGTCCATCTCCCAGCCTGTGGTTGGATAGTGAAGGAGAAGCAGCAGACTGATGAGCTCATCTCTCTATCACTTTGCTCTCTCCTCCTTTCAGCATACTCCTTGTTATATAATAATATAGTAATAATATTTTTGCCCGGCGTTCTTCTTCAATTTGTCTCATGAATACAACATTCTGGAATCTATCTGGATCACACTCGGTACATCAAGCACTATTTGTACTACATCACTGAGCAACAGACATGTAACCTCCTGCACTTGTGCTTTCTGGGCTTGGACTGTGCCGGAACGCACTGGATATGGTGGGACTGGGCCTTGAGACACCGTGTGCTCTCCTGCTGCTCTTATCAACTCCACAACAGTAAGTCACATGGCCTTGCCTGTAATGCAGCCGCCAAGAGCCAAAAGATACATCTGATTGGCCAGAGAACAGTCGCTTGCGGGCATTCGGTTTCGTTCGCTTTCGGACATTGGGATGCATTCAAATGTCTGAATTCAAACAAAATTAATCCAAATATACATTTGGAACTAAATGAAATTTACATTGTCTACTGAACAAACCTGAACACATGTAGACCATGGGCAGCACACTGATCACAATGTAACTCTTTTTAAAAAATAATAAGATAAATGTTTTTGGCTTCGTGCAGCATTCCAACCGACTGATAGAGCCGAAGAGTGTCCCAGGGACTTGAAATCTCAGCATCGAAATCATGTTCTTCACATTCACTCGAAGACTGATAACAGGCGAGCCGCGGGAGAGTAAGACTTGAAATGGAATGCGGAATGACACATTTTACAAGTAGAACACACACGGAATATTTATGATTGCTCGTGGCTTAATACGCTCGCCTTCGACTTACAGCAGAGAGACGCTTTGATACGCAGAGCTTGTTTGTGGTCTGCTAATATATATAACCTCACAGGCTTAAAGCTGAAGTTTAATTGGCTTGTAGTAGTTATTAATGTTAGGGATGCACCGATATCAGTTTTTGGGGTATCGAGTACAAGTATCAATATTTTTTTGGGGTACTCGCCGATACCGAATACCGATACCGGAAGTCCCATTAAGGAAGCAAGGCGGCGTGTAAAGACTCGCCACCCAGCTTCCCGATTAACAGGGAAGCCGCCTCCATGCTCCCTCCTCACCAGAAGGCATGGAGCTGGCTTTCTGGCCAATCAGGAAGCTGGGCGCCTTTAATGATTCGTTGCCCAGCTTCTTGATTGGTCGAGAAGCTGGCCAATCAGGAAGCCGTGTCATTACATGGCGCCCGGCTTCCTGTTTGGCCAGGAAGCCAGCTCCTTGCTCCCTTATCACCAGGTGACGAGGTTTTCTGGCCAATCAGAAAGCTGGTGGCGGGTAATGACTCGCCGTCCAGTTTCCCGATGGCCAGCTTCCCGACCAATCAGGAAGCTAGGCGACAAGTCATTGCATGCTGGCTTCCTGATTGGGCGGGAAGCTGACTCCATACTGCTTCGACTTCAGGTATGGAGCAGGCTTCCCGACCAATCAGGTGTAATGACTCGCTGCCCGGCTTCCTGATACCGGAAGCTCAGGTATCGGGCTAGGCATCGGAGCATTTGGGCGAGTACCAAATACTCGGCATCGGCACCGATACTAGAATCGGAATTGGTGCATCCTTAATTATTATTATTATTATACAGGATTTATATAGCGCCAACAGTTTGCGGCACGCTTTACAATATAAGGAAAACATTACAATACAATTCAAGGCAAGATGGTAAGGTGAGCCCTGCCCGTGAGGGCTTACCATCACTGTATAGTGTGTACAATAAATGAAATCATTTATTTAAAAATGTAATATAAAACTGTTATGTGTAAATAATCTGTCTACCTAAAATAAAAATATATTTCATATTTATTTTTTATCATAAACATAGAGAAATGTGATGTATTTCATAACAATAAGGAAAATATCAGGCTTATTCACAAAAAGGATGAAGAGTTTAGAGAATCCCAGAGAAGGGAGCAATCTAGGACAACATAGCTGAATTGGAAAGTGAGCTGGATTGGGGAATTTTTCCGAATCAGCTATGTTGGCCTAGATTGTTCACTTCTCCCGCCTTCTCCAAACCCTTCACCCTTTTTGTGTATTGCCCTGTTAGTATCCATAGTCTTTGCTATAGATACACTGTTGCTGAGTTCAGCGTTCTTCAATTGGAAGCCTTTGGTCATTATACTGTAACATAGAACTGTGTAAATAATGTTTTCTTAGAAAAAAATAATCTGTACGATTATTGTGATTTGCTGAGTCTTCCTATAGCAGCTCCCCCATGCCCTGGGGGGTGGTTTGTGAAATGGTGGGACATATAACGCTGAAAATCCTCATAATATTTAATTGTATTTCTTTGTCTTTCAGAGTTTTGAACGCACAATGACTTCAGAGAGGATTTCATCTCTATAATTATCCCTTCACTGCGGACTGAAGGCTCTGGGGGGGAAATTGGAAGAAAATTATATCAATTATTGCTTCCTTCCGACTGTCACACTCGTCCGCTCGGCAGCCGGAGCCTGTATGACCATAATGATGAACCAGGAAAAGTGGGTCAATCTCAGCCCCGCAGAATTCGCTCAACTTCAAAAGTATGCAGAATGTGAGTATCGTTGGCTTTTGAATATTTTAATCTTCACACTTAATTTCCAAGGAGCAGCGGGGGGAACGTTCGGCGAATGTCTGCGGAAGGGAAGTGACATCTCCGGGGCATATTAATCTAATCTGTAGCCTTCCATCCTTATCTGGTTATTAGAAGAGCTGTGTTTACAAAGGACAGAGAGAGAGAGAGCGAGAGAGAGAGAGAGAGAGAGAGAGATACATAACAGGTACCGGGATTTGACTTCAAAGTGTAGCTAAACCCAACAGCAAAATTGCAATATATTGCAGCTTACCAGCACTCAGATGTGATGGTTCCATAAAGTACCTTTTTTTTCCTTTATTTTTACCTGGTGGTCTTGACAGTAACACACTTCCTGTCCTAGGGTGACAACTCTCATTCACTGTACTGTATCTACAGATGAGTAGTGTTGTCACCAGGGCTGTCCCCAGGGGCTGACTGGCAACTTTTAGCCCAGAGGGCAAGTACAACCTAGAGGCCCATGGTGCAGCAACTTGACCTCCCTCCCGCTCTGCCTCTTCCCCCCGCCTTCTCCTTGCCCGTCTGCCACTTTTGCCATCCATGTAACGGTAGTGTGAATGGTCGGGTGATGTGAGGCAGGGAGGAGGTGCGGTGTGTGGAGCGTGGATGCGGGCTGGCGGGTCTGGCAGCGGCAAGCGTGAGGCGGGGAGGAGGTGATGCATGTGGATGCGGGCGGGTCTGGCAGTGGCAAACGTGAGGCGGTGCGGCGTGTGGAGCGTGGATGTGGGCGGGCGGGTCTGGCAGCGGCAAGCGTGAGGCGGGAAGGAGGTGCGGCGTGTGGAGCGTGGATACGGGCAGGCGGGTCTGGCAGCGGCGTGAGGCAGGGAGGGGGTGCGGCGTGTGGAGCATGGATACGGGCTGGCGGGTCTGGCAGCGGCAAGCGTGAGGGGGGAGGAGGTGCGGCGTGTGGAACGTGCGGGTCTAGCAGCGGCAAGCATGAGGTGGGGAGGAGGTGCGGCGCGCGGCGTGTGTGGAGCCGTGACCAGGGCCAACTAAATGAAAGCTGATTAATCAATGATTGAAAATGTTGAAGACTTTTTCAATCATCGATTATAATCGACTTAGTCGATTAGTTGTTGCAGCCCTACATTCATCCCCGATTTCTGGGGACAGTCCCTGGATTGAGGAGACCGTCCCCAGACAAATGATGTCTCCGGGATCATAATATAAACTAGGGCTGCAGCTAACGATTATTTTCAAAATCGATTAGTTAGCCGATTATTAAGCTTGAATAATCGATTAATCAGATTTTCTTTTTTAAAATGGCTCCAGTGATGGACTACTAGCTTGTATTGAGATTGTAGTCCATCACGGGAGCAAGTTTGGAGCGGTAGAAGTAAAAAAAAAAAGTTTGGTTTGCAATATAGTACATTATTGTATTTGCCACCCTGCCCCCCGGCCCAGTCCGCCCCTGGCTGTCCCTATAATAAGGCAGACTGAAGATGCTGTCTCAGGCGGCAATTCTCTTTGAGTCACATGGGTCGGCAGCAGGCAGAGAGGCATGGCCACTCTGCTGCACAATATTTGCAATGTGCCTGCTGCCCCCTTCCCAACCAGAATGTCCTAGGTTGCTAAGAGTCAGGGGGAAATGTGTAAGGGCCATTATGAGAAGTTCTCCCATATATGCCTTGAGTTTCTCAGTCTGCACACAATTTGGGCTCATTATGAGGGGTTCCCACCACCTCTGTGCTGAGTTCCTTGGTCTGTACACCTGCTGGGCCCATTATGAGGGATTCCCACCATCTCTGTGCTGAGTTCCTGGGTCTATACATCTGTTGGACCCAGTATGAGGGGATGCCACCATTCCTGTCCTGAACTCCTGGGCCTGCACACCAGCTGGGAACGTTATGAGGGGTTCCCATCATTCCTGTCCTGAGTTCCTGGGTCTGCACACCAACTGGGCCCATTATGAATGGTTCCCACCATCCCTGTCTTGAATTGCTGGGTCTACACACCTGCTGTGTCCAATTATGAGGGGTTTCCACCACTACAGCCTAATTTTATATGTATACATATATTTTTATTTTTGACAAGTTTTTATTAAGATTTTGCACAATATAAGAAACAAGTACAGCATAAGTATGGCCGTTCCAATATACAGTATTCAAGACTTTCAAACGAGCTAGTTGTACATGAGACAATAAGGCTCAATGCACATATCATCTCGATATTCGGTCACATAGCGCTTCAGTAGCAGGCCTTGAACCAACATGCAATGCTCAGTGTGTCTTAGGTCTGAAGGGGATATGAGGAGAAGTAGGAGAATAGGAATTCCACAAGGGAGGTCAAGGGGGGTAGGGAGGGGTAAAACAGAAAAGAATACAAACAACCAGATACATATAATAACTTGGCATTATATAATGAGGCAGCAAAAAGTAGGTTACATTCATATCAATCTAAGCAAACAGGTCACATGGATAAGATTGATTAACTATAGTGAGTACAGTTATACACTAGGAGGCTATAGGAAGGTATACCATTACATTTTGTATGTATATTTTATTGTGGAGAATATGCTAGGAGGAGCTGGAATACAAAACAGTGGAGAGTAACAGGCCACTTGTATCTAGCAGATGACTATCTCTAGGCAACAGCACCATTTTTCTGTAGGTCAAATTGCTGCTGCGCTGTGAAAAGCATTTATAGCCTAAGTTGTGAATATACACATAATAGCAGGAAAGAACAGATTATGCACACTGCTAAATTATCACCACAACCTCCACCCAAACCTTGCTTGAGAAGAGATGGGACTTTATCTGACTTTATCCAATATCATACATAATACTTGTGATTGTGGATATACTGAATGCCTTGAAAGAAGCTGTCAGCAGAGATAAAGTACAGCATAAAACAGAGACAGATTGTGTGACAGGCTGACAAAGGCACCTGGGTGCAGACAATAAATATGGCTGCAGTACAGAAGGGGAGACAGCTCCAAGTCACCCATACAATTCCTTGTGCTATCTAATCTAACAGTACCCGCACACCAGAGTTGTTTTAAGCTCTTTATTGCTTCATCACCCAACACAGGTCAGTAGTAATCTCTAGAAAACAGCTGTGAAAAGTCTTGCAGCAAATTCTTGCAGACCCATCTACCCATTTTACCCTCATCTTGTGTCCCTGTATCATTAAAGGGAAGTTACATTGTCTTCCCAGAAGTTGCCTTGTCTATCCCGAAGAAATCACTGTTCTGTGTGATCATTGTCCTGTGACCACTGGTCATGCTCCCATCTGAAGAATGGCATGTGGATGGCTGGGTGCATGTGTGTCACTGACCTGGGGAAGAGATGGCACAAGGCTGCACTATGGGAAGAAGACAAGCCAGCAGAGTCAGAGTGATGCTTTGGGCAATGTTCTTGCTGGGTAACCTTGGGTCCTGCCATCCATGTAGATGTTACTTTCAAACGAACCACCGACCTAAACATTGTTACTGACCAAGTAAACCTCTTTATGGAAATGGTATTCACTGATTGCAGTGGCCTCTTTAAGCAGGATAATGTGCTCTGACACACTGCAAAAATGGTTCAAGAATGGTTTGAGGAACACAACAACAAGTTTGAGGTGTTGACTTGGCCTCCAAATTCTCCAGATCCCAATACAATCGATCATCTGTGGGATGTGCTGGAAAAAACAAGTCCAATCCATGGAGGCCCCACCTCATAATTTACAGGACTTAAAGGATCTGCTACTGACGGCTTGGTGGCAGATTTCACAGCACACCTTCAGAGGTCCAGTGGACTGGACGGGTCAGGAAAAAAGGAACCTACTAAATAATAGGCGAGTGGTAATAAAGTTATGATACAATGTAACAATTATGGAGACTGATGGAGGGAATTAGTAAATAGATGTCACTAAATCCCCATAGTAACAATGGCTACAGTTATTTGCTTACCAAGAAATACAATGTAACAATTCTAAATAGGCAATTAGCAAATAGATATAACCATTCATAATCCTGGATCCCTGTAGTAGCAATGGTTACATGTATCTGCTAATTCCATCCAGTGTTCTCTGAAATTGTTGCATTGTATCTTTTGTTACTAAGATGTATTCTGATTGGCCTGCTGCATTTTGAAAGTTGTCCTTTGTTACATAAGCTCACCCACTGCAATGTTGAATACTCACTGATGAAAAGAAATTGCTGGAGATGTTCTAGTGGTGGAATGACAGCTAATTACTTCTTGAACAGAATTAGCATTGCTGAGATAAGGAAGACTTTTATGACAAAATAAATTAAACACGAGTCATAAAACTCTCAATCAGAAGATGGTGTTTTCTAAGCTAAACACTAAATCAGAGGAGGTCTTAAAATAGACTTAGGCAAAAGTCCTGCGGGGTTTGGAGCAAAACGTCTGAAAAATTAAACGAATCCTAATAATAAACATGTTCGGAAATAAATCCAAAACCTGGCAGATACACAACTTTGCCTTAGCGGGTTACAGGTAAAATAAGTCATACAATGATTCATTGAGCTGTGCCTTAATAAGCCGGGGGCCATCAATGCTTTTTAAAGTAGATCTCCAGATTTGAAATATGTGCATTTGGCACGTTTTGCCTTTGAAAAGGTGTAATTCTGTTTAGACAGTGTTGGGACTCTCACACATCTAGCACAAGGAAAAGCCAAAGCTGTACACCACTATCGTTATATAGTTTCAGCCAATACAAAGAGAAATGAAAAAAATTGAAAAGCTGCAACCACAAAGCCCTAAACCCAGAGCTGAGCAAGAGGAAGACCAAAATCCTTATAAAGCATGGTCCAGTTGGCTCCAACAGGGAAAACAAATCCTTCCCGATCCCCTAAGGCAACCAGATACTCCCGGGATAAACAAACTAGAGTGTAATTTCCTATAAATATTTATAGAGTATTATATTATGTGCATTTAGAAACACATCCAGATTTTTTTTTTACTTTTGAAAAACGTTTCTGAGTTGGCTAGAACCAGCTCCTGAGTAGGGATGAA